TTCCCTTTCCTTCCTTCCCTTCCCTGCTCTCTTCCTCGTGCTGACTTGTCACTGGACGGTACCGCTTGGCACTATTTACCAGGAATGGCTTTTCAGTCGATCAAGCATCAATCACATCACATTTCCTTCCCTTCCCTGCTCTCTCCTTGTGCAGGCATTGTGACGGACGGCGCCACTCGGGACTACTTCCAGGAATTGCTGTTCAGTCGACCAAAATCAATCACGACGCATTCCTTGCCCCCCTTCTCTCCTCTTCTCTCCTTGTGCACACCCTCGTGAGGGACGGCACAAGCGACACTGCTTCCACCGCGTTTCTCACGCCCTTGCTGTGCAAGCGAGGGCAAACTGCGCACATTCCTTTCCCTCTCTCCTCCTGCAGGCATTGTAATGGGCGGCACCACGCGCCATTACTTCCACCGCTTCTCGCGCGCTTATGCCATGGGTCCACGCAAGCGAGGCAACACATTCCCTCCCTTCCCTTCTGCTCCCCCCTCTTCCTCCTGCAGGCATTGTGACGGACAGCACCACACCACACGGCATTACCTCCACCGCCCATCTTGAGCCAATGTCATGGGGCTGCGCAAGTGAGACATCGATCGTTGCGAGTCAGCTGAAGTCACACAGCGCATTCCTTTTTCCACTTTCTCTCCTCTTGCAGGGATCGTGACAGATGGCACCACTCGGCACTACTTCCACCGCCCAACGCACACTTAGGGGCCATCGGGCTGCACAAGAGGGCCAAACCGCACTGCGAGTGGACTCAAACCACCAGTCATTCCGTTCCGTTCTCTCTCCTCCTGCAGGATCGTGACGGATGGCACCACTCGGCACTACTTCCACCGCCCGTCGCGTGCCTATGCCATGGGGCTGCGCAAGAGACGAAAGGTCTTCTCAGATCGCCCCTCCCCTGCCGCTGCCACTTTGCCGCACCGGCACTGTGGGGGGGGCGGATGCGGGTGGAGGACGGGAGGAGTGCGGGTACAGATGGGCACAAGACAGGGAAGACTCGCCCCGTGTTTGCTCGGACAGAAGCAGGTACGAGACTCCCCCTCTCCACCCACTTTCTCCTCTGTGTCAGTTCTTCTGGCCTGCTCTGTCACCCTGGTGCCTGCTAGTGGGGGAAGGAGGGGAAAAAGGGGAGGGAAAGCGGATGTTGATGCAGGGCGGGAGGAAAGTGGGCACAAGGCAGGGAAGACTCGCCGTTTGTTTGCTCGTAACTGAAAGCAGGTGGGCTTGAGGCAGGTATGGGACCCATCCCACCCCCCACCCCTCCCTCACATGCTGAATCGATAGATTCGAATCTAAGGCCAATCCAAACGACTCTCGCTGTTGTTTCCTCCCTCAAATAACTCTCTTATGCTGCCATCCTCACCCCCTAGAACGTGCGTCTCAGATCAGTTGGAAGAAGATCCTGGTGCTGTATGAGATGCAGGCGCAGAGGGGCAAGAGGGTTTTCAGCCGCCTCATAGCACTCACCCTGCTTGCGTCTCCCCCACCCGGCCCACCCCCCCTCTTGTGAGATCGGGTGGAAGAAAAACCTGGCGCTGTACGAGACGTGCGCACACAGGGGCAAGGGCAAGAGCAAGAGTGTTTTGTTGAGCCGCCTCATATGACCAACCTTGATCCTTCCTTCACTCCTCCACCCATAACCTCTCAGATTGGGTGGAAGAAGATCCTGGTGCTGTATGAGATGCGGGCGCAGAGGGGCAAGAGGGTTCCCAGCCGCCTTAAAGGACCCCCTCTGCTTGCTTTTTCCCCCCGATTCCCAAACCCCTCCTGATTAGATCGGTTGGAAGAAGATTCTGGTGCTGTATGAGACGCGGGCGCAGAGGGGCAAGAAGCGGGGGCGGACGAGCGGAGCAGCCCTGCAGGGGGCAGCGGGGAAGGACAGGAAGACGAATTGGATCATGCACCAGTACCATGTGGGGGAGCAGGGCGAGGAGAAGGAGGGCGAATGGGTGGTGTCGAAAGTCTTTTACCAGGTAAGGTCCATGATTCTCCTGTTACAGTGTTACCTGTATGGATAGCCCTGCAGGGGAGGGGTGGATGCGGGGGAGGACAGGAAGACGAACTGGATCATGCACCAGTACCACGTGGGGGAGCAGGGCGAGGAGAGGAGGGCGAGTGGTTGGTGTCGAAGGTGTTCTTCCAGGTAAGGTGCTTGTAATGGCCCCACATGCACCCTGGTTGACCCCGGTCTTGAATTGAAAGTCTCAGAAGTTTCTCCCGGGGTGAGGGTTTCTGGTGGTGCTGTAGTGCTGCTAGCCAGTACCACGTGAGTGAACCACTCCTCTCCACTCCTTTCCACTCCCCTCCCACTCCTCTCCCCTCTCCCCATCCCTGCCCCACCTCAGATTCAGCAGAGGCAGAGTTCAGGCGAGAGCAGGACAGGGAGGGGTCACTGCCCCCTTGTTTGACATTGTGTGTTGTGCCTCCTCTCATCTCCTCTCCTCTCCTCTCCTCTCCTCTCCTCTCCTCTCCTCTCATCTCATCTCCTCTCCTCTCCTCTCATCTCCTCTCATCTCCTCTCCTCTCATCTCCTCTCCTCTCCTCTCATCTCCTCTCATCTCCTCTCCTCTCCTCTCATCTCCTCTCATCTCCTCTCCTCTCCTCTCATCTCCTCTCATCACTCCTCTCCTCTCCTCTCCTCTCCTCTCCTCTCCTCTCCTCTCATCTCCTCTCATCTCCTCTCATCTCCTCTCCTCTCCTCTCATCTCCTCTCATCTCCTCTCCTCTCCTCTCCTCTCATCTCCTCTCATCTCCTCTCCTCTCCTCTCCTCTCCTCTCCTCTCCTCTCCTCTCCTCTCCTCTCCTCTCCTCTCCTCTCCTCTCCTCTCCTCTCTCTCCTCTTTGTTCCCCCAATCTGCAGATCCAGCAGAGGCAGAGTTCAGGCACGCGAGCAGGCAGCAGGGAGGGGTCTCTGCCCCCCCTTGGCCAAGGGCAGACGAGGAGGAGTGTGGGGCCGAGGGGAGGGAGGACATTGAAGCAGTAGGGGAAGGGGAGGGTGGAGGGGCAGAGGAGGAGGAAGGGGAGGAGGAGGAGGGTGGATGATATCGAGGATGTTAATGACGAGGATGGGGATGGGGATGGGGGTATGGCAGGGGCGCCTAGAGCAGCTGTGGCAGGGAGAGGAGGAGGGTTGGTATCAGGGGCAGGAGGTGCGTTTGTAGCGGCAGGAGGTTCGGTTGTTACAGCAGGAGGCTCTGCCGGAGCAGCAGGAGGCTCGGCTGTAACGGCGGGAAGGAGAGGAAGGGGAGGGCGGGGAGGCAGGGGAGTAAGCCAGGGTGGTCGGGGGGGTTCTAGGGGGGGTAGGCCCGCAAAGGGGGGGGTGTTGGCAACGAGGGGCACGTTTCAAGCATCGCAGCCATCACCACGTCAGCCGCTGCTGCCTGCCTCGTTTGGTGCGGCGTTTTTGCCACCAGGGCACCACCCACCACCCTTACTCCCTGCAGCTTCTCCTGTTTCCACAGCAGCAGGTGCTGCCTCAGGTGCTATTTCAGGTGCTTTCTCAGGTGCTGATCTGATAACCACAGCAGAAGTAGCGCCAGCAGGGGCAGCAGGCGCATTAGCAGGGCCTGCTCGACTGCTCTCCTTCCACAACCAAGCACCCCCCTGTGGGGTCCAGGAGGGGGCTTTATTAGGCACAGCAGGGCCACCAAACACTGGCGTTCCTGGTATAGGGTTCACTCCTTTCAGTAGGAGGTGGTGCTGCTGGTGGTGGTGGCGGTGGTGGTTCTGTTCGTGTTAGCACTGGTGGTGTGACAGCAGGTGAAATCACCAGCATCACCAGCAACAGCAGCGGCAGTGGGCATGGCAGTGGCAGCGCTGGGGCAATGTTCCTTTCTCCTCCTCCTAACACACAGAGACGGGTGGGGCTTGGCGGTTCAACCCCTTGACACTGGTGCTGCTGCTGCTGGCGCTTCTGCTGCTGCTGCTGGTGCCGGTGCTGCTGAGCCTGTCACTCCAAGCAGCACTGCCATGCCTGTTCCCATCACGCCCCCCTCCGCGCACTCTGCCTCGGGTCTTGTGGCGTTGAAACCGCCTGGCTGGGGTGGAGAAGCAGGGCGCTGGTGCCATGCCAACTGCAGCAACAGCAGCAGGAGCAGCAGCAGCAGCAGCAACAACAGCGGGTAACCATGCCGCTACAATTACCCCCAGAACTGAAGCTGCTACAGCTGCAGAGTTAGTGGGCAGTGCAGGAGTGAGTGACCTGAGGGCGTATGAGCAGTCGCTGGGAGACAGTGCCTCGGATATCGGCTCATACCCACACTCACAGGAGGTGAGCGTTGGTCTAAAACACACATACACACACTTACACGCACGCACGCACGCACACACGCACATGCACGCACACACGCGCGCGCACGCACACACGCGCACGCACACGCACACACGCACGCGCACTCACACGCGCACGAACAGACACACACACGAGCTTGTTCTCACTCGTCTTTTAATGTCGCCCTCTTTCTTTCTCTCTCTCCCTTTTCCCCCCCAGCCTCTTTCTCTCCCGCCACAGGCATCGATACAAGCAGCTCCCCTTGCCATGCGACCCGCTGCTGCTGCCAGCCTGCCTGCCACTGCTCTAAGGCAATACCTGGCTCAGAAGCAGCAGCAGCAGCAAGGGGGAGGGTACCAGCAGACTAATGAGACAGGGGATTACCCACAAGCAGCAGCCACAGCAGCAGCAATATCTTCACCAGCAGCAGCCGCCACTGTTGCAGCAAACCGCAACAGCAGGCGCAGCAGCCGCAAGAGGCAGGGAAATACAGGGAGAACAGTATGCTGACTGAGGCTGGGGAAAGAGAGATTGGGGCACATTTGGGGGAGGTGGATGCAGGGCAGGGGCATGGGGAATGGGTTGGGGCAGGTGCATGGAAATGGGTTTGGGGCAGGTGCATGGGAATGGGTTGGGGCAGGTGCATGAAATGGGGGTGCACGTTATGGGGTCTCAGGATGATAATGGGGCGGCAGGGAAGTGGGAGACAGGCAGCGAGGCAATGACTCTGCAGGAAGCAACACAGAGGCACAGAGTGGGGCTGCAGGAGGGGAAGCCCAGCGCCAGCAACAGCTGCACATCGGGAGAATCAGCAGCAGCAGCAGCAGCAGCAGCAGCAGCAGCAGGAGAATTACCAGCAGGAGCAGCGTTTTCATCAACAACAGCACGAAAACCAACTGCAGCAGCAAGCATCAGTTGAAGCTGCAGCTGCAGCAGCAGTGACAGAGCCACAGGAGCAGCAGGGAGAGGGGAGGGACGAGGGCCACAAAGGGCATGGTTCCCTGCAGGATGGGTTGGAAGGGTTGCCCGTTCTCTCCCAGAACGCTCTCTTTTCCCAAGGCGCCCTGTTTTCCCAGGGTACCCCAGATGACTAACCCCTTCCGATTCCTCTCCACGCCTACAGACGAGCACACTGATGGCTCTCCCAAGAAAACCGAAATTGGAGCTGTAGCAGAAGAGACTGTAGCAGGAGCGACTGTAGCAGGAGGGGATGTAGCAGGAGGGAATGTAGCTGCCAGTGTGACTTCAGCTGATGCAGCTACAGCCGATGCAGCAGCTGTAGCAGCGCCAGCAACGCCCCGGGTGCCCTCATCTGCTGACGTGCAGCCAGTGCTGCCAGCTCAGGGAACATGGAGGCGGGCTGTGCAGAGGGAGGTACACCTGGGGTAGGCTGTACTGGTAGGACCACACACACACCAGTGCAGGGAGTAGCGATGGGGATGGAAGAGTAGGAGGGGTAGAGGGTACAGGGGGAGGTAAGAGTTTGTGGAAGCCTGCTGCTAGGAGATTCTCACCCCCTGCTGGTGCCAGGGTGATGCTAGGGGTGGCGCTGCAACCATTGCTGGTGTGACAATCACTAGCTGCTGCTGTAAGCGACGCGTTAAAAGACTCGCTTAAGGAACCCTGTCGATCCCTACAAGCCAGGATACTGCCTCTGCCGTCCACCCCCATCTTCCTGAGTCAGGAGCTTCCCCCCATTGAACACTTGCCCTCCTCACTGCCCTCCCTGCCCCCATCACAAGAGCCTGTCATGTGCTTTGATGCAACTACACCAGTGGACTTAGGAGAGAAGGAGGGGGAAGAGGGGATAGGCGGACTGGGGCAAATGCGGGAGATTGGGGCAATGGGGGGGACGGGGGAGAATGGCAGGGAGCAGAGTGGGGGGGAGTCAGAGGAGGCGATCCAGGAGACACAAGTAGAGGCAGAGGAGGTGGGTGGTCGAAGGGGGCATGTGGAACAAGAGGAGCAACAGGGGGAGCTCGAGCAACGGTTCCAAAAAGTGCAACATCACGGGTTTCAGCAACAGCATGAGCAGCAGCAGGCAGCAGGTGCAGCAGCTGGAGGTGCCACAGCGGCAGGGGGTCGCTGCAGAGCACAGGGGAGCAGCGACAGAGTCAGCAGCACCGAATGGAGGCGGGCAGTGTGGCAAGGATAGCAACAGCGGTGGTGGTGAGGGCAAGGAGAACAACAAGGGCGGTGGTGACAGAGGTATTGGCAGTGGTAGTGGCAGTGACGGGAAGGATTCGTCACCGTTGGATCTTCTGATGCTTGCCCTGTCAGGCGAACAGGGTGGGGATGGAGAGAAGGGGTGTGTGCAAGGGCAGGGTACAATGGAAGCGAGGGAGGAAGGACGGAAGGAGAAAGGGAGGGAGATAGAGGGAAGAATAGAGGGGGATTTAGAGAGGGGACTGGACGGGAGGGAGGGAATGTGAAGTCATCAGATTTAAGTTATCCTCGTGCTGTTGCCACCATTGTCGGCGCTTGCTTTCAACAGCACACGACCCCTGGTGTCTGCCAACATTCATGTTTCAGCTGAAGCGGGTGATAAGAGCAGAGCAGGGACTGCCACAGTGCTTGGGGGTGAAGCAAACATGGAGGGCGTAAGGGAGGGGTTATGTGGGCCGGGTGGGGGAGAAGTGACTGGGGCAGGGGAAGGTGCGGCGGTAGGCAGTTGTGGGGTTGCAACTGGGGCTGTGGGCGGGTGTGGTGCTATGCCGGGTGCGGTAGGGAGCGGTATGCTTGGTGCTGCGTTTTGGATCGGCAGCAGTGGTCCGTGGCATGAGCAACGGCACGTGGGGCGAGTGGATGGGGCCTGCTAGGTCAGGCGACAACAGAGATCGTCGTTGGGCTAGGTTCGGACGGGCATGCAGGCGGAGGTTCGGATGCCAGGGTCGGGAGCAGGGGCATGTAAAAGGGGAGGGGAATGGGGCAGTGGAGGAAGATACAAGTGGGATGGGAGGATTGAAGAGAGTGAGTGAGAAGGAGGAGAAGGAGGAGGAGAAGGAAGCCGAAGACAAGGAGGAAGCAAGTAGACCGTAGAGGAACAGAAACAAGCGAGCGAGACGAACGAGGGGGAAAAGGAGGGAGGGGAGGGAAAGGGAGAGGGAGAGGGAGAGGGGTCAGTGGAAGTGTCTTCCTTGGGTTCTGACAAGACGACAATGACAAATCCCTCGCATGTTCCTCAGGAGCTCGAACCACGAGCAGAGCGAAGGGGACTCCCAGCAGAGCGGCAGTGCGAGTGGCTCGAGCAAGGGAAAGGAGGCGGGATGGCAAGTGGAAGGAAGGGGAAGCGGGGAGGGACGAGTGGCGGTAGAGGGAGGAGGAAAGGGGTTGGCGGTGGGGAGGGAGGGGGAGGGAAACGGCAGGTGGGGGGCTGGAGGAACTGGACGATTGATACATGACGAGGAAGATTGGTAAATTGCGGTTTATTTAGTGCGATTGTTGACGAGCAGGTGTAATCAGGGCTGACGTTTCAAATTTAGGTACCCTGAGTTCTGTTGGGCTGAAAGAGCCCCTTAGGATATTTGATAGGATGAAACTCTAGGTAAAGTGATGTAATAGCGGAAGCGTTTTAAGAGAAGATTCTGAACCACCTTGCGCTGGTATGTGAGGGCAAAGTAAGTTGATTAAAACAAGCAAATACAAAGGTTTATATAAGGGTACAAGGAATACGAAGAGATACGGTTGTAACTGCTTTTGCTGTTGCTGTGCGGTTCGATACAGTGACGACTCGGGCAACTGCATCAGTATCGAGTCAGTTGTGTGTCCTTGCTGTCGCGCTGTATTTGTCAAGTCAAAGGTTGCTGACCTTTGACCTTCGCGTAACCTCCAGCGGTTACTTCAACCTCCGAGGGTTGACTCGCTGGTGCCTCGATATGATTTGCTTCGCTTGTGCCTTGGTGTTTCGACACGGTAGAAGCGCTTTTAGGACCGATTGTTTCCAACACTCCCCTTCGCTTCTGGAGTGTCGCTGACGTGGCTTTGTCCAGTCAGCAACATGCAGTATTCGAACTTCTGCTTTTCCGAGTTTCTTGGTCAGGTAGTTAGCTGCCATCTCGGACGTGGGACAGTATGACAGGGCGAGTCTTCCCTTCTCGATCTCGTCCTTCACGAAAAAATATCGCAGGGCGATGTGTGTTCGTCCTGTTCGCGAAGCCGTTCTTGTTGGCGATGCGGATTGCAGATTGGTTGTCGCAGAAAAGGGTGAAGTTGGGTAACTCGGCTAACTTCGCCTCTTCTAGCAGTTCGCGAAGGTAGAGTCCTTCCTTGGTGGCTGAGCAGAGTGCAATGTATTATGCTTCGGCTGATGAGAGAGCAATTAGTTCTTGCTTACTCGATTGCCAGGAGATAGGCCCGATAGGCTCGAAGCGGTAAGATATAGCCGGTGCGCGATCGTCTGTTGTCGGAGTCGCCCGCGGTGTTCTGCGTCGACGTAACTGATTAGCTTAGGTGATGCAGTTGCGTTCTTATGGTAGGTCAGGCCGACCGTCGGAGTGCTGACGAAGTAGTGGAGAGCGCGATCGAGTTCCGCCAGATGCTCTGCTGCAGGCCTTTTGAGGTATGTAGCGAGCTGGCTTGCGGAATATGAGAGGTCGGGACGACAGTGACAGCTGCGAAGAGTAGACATCCCAGCTTCTTCTGGTAGTCTCGTATGCCGGCGGGTTTGAGTAGGGCGGAGCCTCCTTTGTCGTTCCCTGCCGTGTAGCGGTATGGCGTGGAAATGGCTGCTGGTGTGATCGTAAAGCGTTTGGCGATAGTGTCAGCGTATTTTTCGGCGCTGAGGTAGATCGCGTTCTTTTCTTCGCGGATGTTGAAGGCCGAGATACTGAGTGACGGTAGATGAGACAGTGAGCGTGAGATCTCGCTGCAGGCTCCCCTTAAAACCAGGTGATTATGCCATCAGTCGAGCCGATGTAGAGAAGATCATCCACGTAGACGGTACATGCCTTGATCGTGCGGTAGTTGTTTGAAGCCGATGCGGATGAGGCGAGCGTGCAGGTGCTGTTGCCATAGTCGCGGGACCTGCTTGATGCCGTAGAGTGACTTGAGTAGCTGGCAAACTTGGTTGGGTTCTCCGTGGGAGCTGTGTGGTAACTCAACGAAGATTTCGGCATCAACAGGTGCGTAGAGGAATGCGTTGGCGACGTCGATTTGTCGCAGGTTCTTTTTCTTCATGGCGGCGATCGCAAGGATGATTCGAAGTGAGGTATGTCGGCTAACCGGGGCGAATGTCTCGGTGAAGTCCCGTCCGTGCTCTTGGTCGAATCCACGCACAACCCAGCGTGCTTTGAACTTCTCAATTGTGCCATCTGCTTTTGTTTTAACGAGGAAGACCCATTTCCCGGTGAGGATGGTTTTGTTCCTCGCCACGCTGATGGGGACAATTTTCCAGGTGTTCCGGTCCTCCAGCGCCTTTAACTCTTTGTCCATGGCTTCACGCCATTTCTCCTTGTGTTCCCCCCCCAGAGCCTGCTGAACCGTTGCAGGCTCCTTAGGAATGGTGTCTCCGTGGACCGCGGTGACGAGGCCGAGTATCTGCAGTCCAGTTTGTGAGTAGCGGGGAAGATTTGCGTCCTCGGGATAAGCTGCTTCATCCCCCGCTTCTGGATCGGGTAAGAAATTTGGTCCTACTCGTTCTGCTTCGTTGGTGTTGACTGTCGCAGGTGTTACGTAACCGTTGTCGGCGAAGTAGTAGAAGGTTTTCGGCGTTGACGCTTTCGCGAGGGTTGTCTTCGTCCATGGGAACGTCGACGGAGCAGAACGGTAGAGGTCCGACTTCTTCTGACGCGCTGTCCACATTTTGCTTGTCCCACTCAGCTTCGTCTTCTGCGGAGGCGAAGGTTCGGTCTCCACGAAAACCACCTGTGGGATCTTGGTCCTCTTGCAGGTTGGCAAGGTATGTCTGGAGTGTGAGTCGTTCGTAGAAGATGACGTCGCGTGCTGCTACTGTTTCCTTGGAGTGGATGTCGAAGATTTTCCATGCGTTGTAATTCTTTTCGATGCCGAGGTGTAGTCCCCACTTTGCGCGTTGTGAAAATCTTCCCGCTCGTGCTGCTGGGGGTCGGTACTGTACCATGCATCCGAACACTCGTAACATTTTTGTGCTGCCCTGTTTCCCTGTCCACAGCAGATGCGGTGATGCTTTGTTCGGAAGCGATGATGACGACAGCAAGTTTGTGCAGCATGACAGCGTGGTCCATTGCTGCAGGCCACTGGTGGTTGGGTAGCCGCATGCCACGCAACAGTTTGCGCATGCTGTTCTGCAGAGTCCTGTTCATTCTTTCTGCTACGCCTTGCTGTTGATGTGCATAGGGAAGGGAGAGTAGCTGCTTGATGCCTCTTTCTGCCAGGTACTGCTTGAAGCGTGAGAGGTGTATTCTCCTCCTCCGTCTGACTGTAAGCTTTTCAGCTTTACCCCCGACTCTCTCTCTGCTACTGGTAGCCAGGCAGCGAACGCTGCGAGGGCCATGTCGCGGCTGGGTAGGTTTAAGTGCCAGACGTAGCGGGTGGCGGCGTCGATGAACGTGATTGTGTAGTTGTAGATTACTTGTCCTGGCTCCCGATTGTACAGGATGTCGCTGTACACCTTTTCGAGTGGTGCATACGCGGGTGCACTCGGGTTGTGACGAGGAGGCGAACGGCCGATGCGGTAAGTCGGCTTCGGGGCAGATGAGGCATGTTCCTCGTGCTCGTTGAAGTTCTCTTCCGTCGAGTAGTAGTAACGAGTCTTTGTCAAGGACTCCTGCTCTTATGGTGTTGTTTAACACAGTGTTGCTTGCGTGTCCCATTCTTGGATGCCAAGTACTTTCGTCGGCGCGATGCCCGGGTGATCGCCGGTACATGTCAGAGTTGGAGTAAAAGCTGGCGATGAAGTTGGCGCTACGATGAAATTCTCGTGGTGCTGGGTGGAGCTGTTGTGCTGGCGTTGGCGGTGTTTCATTGACGAGGATTGGAGTCGTTGTTGCTGCTGCTCTTGTTGTTCCTGCTGCTGCCGATGTTGTTTCTGCTGCTGCTGATGTTGTCTCTGCTGCTGCCGATGTTGTCTCTGCTGCTGCCGATGTTGTTTCTGCTGCTGCCGATGTTGTTTCTGCTGCTGCCGATGTTGTCTCTCTGCTGCTGCCGATGTTGTCTCTGCTGTTGCCGAATGTTGAATTGCTACTAACGCGCGTGTTCGTTCTGCTTCAGGAATTGTATGTGAATACCAAAAGCCTTCCGGACTGAAGTCTGGATCAAGATCTGGAGGGTGTGTCCAGTCAGCGAAGTTTACGATGGCGTCGCTGTCTGCGGTGCCCAGGTATGGGACGAAGTCGAGGACGAAGACATTATTCTTCAGGACCGCCTTTCCGATGTAGAGGCCGCCCTTCCCGTGGTACAGTTTGAACTCCTGGGTGGTACTGTCGGCTTCCAGGTGTATGCCTTTCGCCATCAACTGACTGACACTTAGTAAGTTGTAGCCGATTCCCTCCGCGATTAGTACCTTTGACATCTGTAGTATGACGTTTTGTCTCTCGTGACTGAAGTTGTACAATTCCTTGTCGTCGTGTGCGCAGGTTTTGGTTGTTGGCGACTGTGATGACAACCTCTCGTTGAAGTCGGTGCTCTCGTTGAACGAAGCGTCCCGAGGAGCACATGTGCTGCCCGCAGCAACTGTCCAAGAACCATGTGTCCTTTCCGGACGGCTCGCTTTGAGCGATGGCGGCGTACGTCGGGTTCGGTTGAAGTGACTCGCGGCGAGGCGTGCTGATGTCGAGTTGTTCTTCTGGTGAGTAATGTGGTGGTGACTCAGTTACGCAGGAGTTGCTTAGTCTTGCCATGCAGC